GTAGTATTACTCGGTTAATAATTACGGGGTTTCGCAGTCCCGCGTTGCAGGAAATGAAATGTACAGCTGGCTGCACATTGACTACAAAATTTTATTGCAAAATGACACTTATTGCAACTGTACAAGGTACAGTGTTTATTGATTCCGACTGTACATCGCGCAACGCTCGGGGCGCCACCTCGGCAAACGCTGGCATTTCCGAAACTCACAGTGTCAGTGTGGCTCGGCTGAAACGGGATTTAAATCATTACTTTAAACTATCCATACTAATATTATAAATGGGAAAGTAACTCTGTCTGTCTGTCTGTCTTGCTTTCACGCTTAAACCACTGAACAGATTTTGATGAAATTTGGCATAGAGATAGTGAGTCCCGGGAAAGGACATAGGATAGTTTTTATCCCGGTTTTTGAAACAGGGACGCGCGCGATAAAGATTTTCTGTGACAGACAAAATTCCACGCGGGCGAAGCCGCGGGCGGAAAGCTAGTCTTAAGATAAACAATGAAAGTTTATTGCCCTAGAATAAGTATGGTTCTTGAGGATGCTTTAGTATGATTTTATTCCAATCCGATTGGTCAAAAGCCTAGCACCATGTATTTAAATACTATTATTCTATGGTGTTTGTTATAGACGTATGAAACCTAATCTATTCGTTTTTTAGATTCCCGTTAGCTATGCCAAATATGCTTTGTTAGTAGTGAGTTCACCACAATAGTTTAGCGATAAGCGAGGATCAAGCCACCGAAATCGGCAGTCTAATGACGACATTTAAAGCGTCATACGAAATTAATCATCATAGAGCCATAACTATGTCTGTATTCTCTGGTCACTATTTAGTTTTATTTCTGTACTAGCGACTCGCAACTGCTTTGCACAGTATGTATCTATCTAAATATATATAACTTAATGGTGACTGACTGACTGTCATAGTGATCTATCAACGCACAGCTTAAACGACTGGACGGATCGGGCTGAAATTTGGCATGCAGGAAGAATATGACGTAGTCATCCGCTAAAAAAGGATTTTACGAAACTCCACCCCTAAGGGGGTAAAACGGGATTCACGCATACGAAGTCGCGGGCGGCCGCTAGTTATAAATAAAAATCTTCCATTTGAATCACTCTATCTACTAAAAAAACTGCATCAAAATCCACTACGTAGTTTTAAAGATCTAAGCATACATAGGGACAGACAGACAGGAAAGCGACTTAGTCCACATAGATTCGAGCCTTTCTACCAGCTCGGATTAATTCTCATCATTTTTCTCTCATTCCTTTTGGCCACCACATTTTTAATTTGTCCCACCGAACTGGATGGAGGTCTTCCAACGGCCGTGGAAATCAAATCAAAACAAGAAACCTTGGTCTAGTTGTGGTAACTTAATCAACTTAAGTTTAGAACTAGAAGTTACAACAACACATAAAAGTACAATACGCTCCTCTTAATTATAAAGAAAACTTTATTCCTAGTTTGTGGAGCTACCTTGGGCCGTAATGGGAAGTGGTACAGCAGATCCTTTGAAATTAATTTAGGTCCATAATATCTTCTTCCTCGGTCCCTCACTGATGAGGATCGCGATCACAGATAGTGTTCCTCCACAGACTGCGGTCATAAGCTGTGTGGACCGCACAATGCAAACTCCCGCCCACCGTCTTCCTCACCGCGTCCGACCATCTCGTCGGTGCCCTGCCCCGAGCACGTCTGCCTTCCATTTGTCCCAAGATAATTTGTTTCTCCAGACAATGCCTTGGAGACCGCATAATGGTCCATATAACAAAACAATATCTAATACTCGTATTAAATCTGTCTCGTGAGGTCTAAATTTTACTTTAACTAATTTGACCGTGATTAAAGTTGAATCGAGTTTTTGGTACATATTTTGTTTTGTTGTATAATATTGATATGCATAGAGTTACCTACTTAAATAAACAAAATATCTGCCAAGTACCTACCTATTTATGGATTTAGTAAAAAACATAATATCTAATCGTAGATGTAGTTAAAGTGAAGTGTGAAATTGGTAATAAAAGTAATTTATTTTCTGTAAGCGCTTTTACTCGTTCCAATATCTGGGGGCACGGCAGTGCCCCCGCCAAGTCGAGCAAAAAAGCGGCACGCCTGTATAACTTTGATTCTACCACTGCTTCGGAACAAAATTGGGCTAGTGCTGAGAGAAGAGGTGCAAGAAATTCAATCACTTTTATGTATTCTAGTCATTAGTATAATAGTTTATTCGAGGTATATACGTAGTTTCGATTTGAGCCTACTGGTTGTTAATTTCTTGTGTCCGCAGTAAAATAGGAAATCCGATACTGTTTCCAGCGGCCCCTTTGCTTTGCTCTCCGCTGGCTCTCCGCTTGACAGCCAAAGCCGGGAGATTTTGTCCAGTGGATTTATAAAGGAGATTCCTAATTTATTTGCGCACAGCAAAGTATGCGGAACTAAAAATGGCGGACGAAAGATGGACAGAGACGGACTAGCGGACTATTTTGTTATGTGATTACTTTTTTAGTGTATGTCTGTTTCTGTCACTCATGAAAAGATCTTGTATTTATGAGAAGGGTGGAAATACGGGCATCGTTGTGAGAATTAGCTGCCAGTGATTTTTTCATTCAGCAGCCACCATATTGAGGTTCGTCAATACAAGTTTTTATACATAATAATAATAATACGTTTATTTCAGACCATTATGATCCATACAGAGTTGTGTTAGTAACAATATTATACTTAAAATCTAGGTTAGTAGTAACATAAATCAGTCAAAAAACCAGTATAAATTCACATAAGAGAACGTCAGTAAAAACAGATAAAGATATACATACCTACAATAAAATTAATAAATGTGACTAAAGATAATAAATAAAAAGGGCTAAAGAATCAAAGATAGATTTAGTTCTTTTGACTTTTTATATAAACCAGTTAAGATAGAGTAAAACTAATTTTCAAACTGGCCATTGCTGCGCAAAGCAAATTTTTGGGACTAACATAAAAGCATTTATAATGTAAATCTATACTCTATACTAATATTATAAATGCGAAAGTAACTCTGTCTGTCTGTCTCACTTTCACGCCTAAACCACTAAACTGATTTTGATGAAATTTGGCAGGGAGATAGTGGGAAAGGGCATAGGATAGTTTTTATCCCGGTTTTTGAAACAGGGACGCGCGCGATAAAGTTTTTTTGTAACAGACAAAATTGGACGCGGGCGAAGCCGCGGGCGGAAAGCTAGTGTAGGGAACCTACATTATTATTACACTTATTACTATTTATTACACAAAACAATCACACAAAAAATATTTCTACATCTTATAATTATATTATTAACACATNTATAGTGTTGTGCGTAACACTAGTGATGTGACTATTCTCATAACATATTTATAGCGCCAAGGTCATCAGCTCGTAAACATGTTAATTGAATGTTAGATAAGTGAGTATACATTTTTTTTGTTTTGCAATTTTTATTAAAAAAAACAGCAATTGCTTAGTAACGTGGAATAATAAACTAAAGAGAGAGAACGTTCTACGAACATAGAACGTACTTCAGTATAATCATAATATTATTATCAACAAAAAAGTGCAACTAAAGTTACATCAATGGTGTTTTAACCTTAATTGACTTAAATTGTCACTGTCATCTTCTTTAATAATTATAAATATTGTTTATGTAGGGAACCTACATTATTATTACACTTATACTATTTATTACACAAAACAATCACACAAAAAATATTTCTACAGCTTATAATTATATTGTTAACACATTNTTATATTATTAACACATTAAAATCATACACATTACATTCATACAGCACGCTAACATACATACATTACGCAAATACAAAATATTTATCCGCACAAGCAAACCCGAATGATACCTCGAGTATGCGGCGGGCGATATACATCGATGCCCTATAGCTACGTATGCGCGTGGAATGTTCAGGACTGGGCCGCCGTTCGGCTGCGCCCGCGGCGATATATCGCCAGTCGAGAAAACACCGTCCTACGCATGACCCGTGCCGCTCGACGCGCCCGGCTCGCCTTCCGCGCGTTATCGTATTTGTTTTCGCGTGATAACAAACAACTTTCTGTATCTTCCTTCTTTCTGACTTTCTACTTCACGTGCTGTGTTACTCCTTCTATTCTGTGTTGTCAAATAAACTGTAATAACTGTGATTCGGAACTTTATTTATCGCAGTAGTTTACCTACCATAGACACAATATTTAATAGCGATACACAAACGCTATATTGGTGACCCCCTGACGGAACATAACGACAGTGAAGTGAAGCGCCATGTCGGATTCAAGCGGCGAAGAGACAACCGGGACTACAAAGGTCAATACGAAACCACGGCATAACAAGTTGTAGGGAACCTACATTATTATTACACTTATTACTATTTATTACACAAAACAATCACACAAAAAAATATTTCTACATCTTATAATTATATTATTAACACATTAAAATCATACACATTACATTCATACATTACGCTAACATACATACATTACGCAAATACAAAATATTTATCCGCACAAGCAAACCCGAATGATACCTCGAGTATGTGGCGGGCGATATACATCGATGCCCTATAGCTACGTATGCGCGTGGAATGTTCAGGACTGGGTCGCCGCTCGGCTGCGCCCGCGGCGATATATCGCCAGTCGAGAAAACACCGTCCTACGCACGACCCGTGCCGCTCGACGCGCCCGGCTCGCCTTCCGCGCGTTATCGTATTTGTTTTCGCGTGATAACAAACAACTCTCCGTATCTTTCTGACTTTCTACTTCACGTGCTGTGTTGCTCCTTCTATTCTGTGTTGTCAAATAAACTCTAATAACTGTGATTCGGAACTTTATTTATCGCAGTAGTTTACCTACCATAGACACAATATTTAATAGCGATACACAAACGCTATATTGGTGGGGGCTTCACTGTCGTTATGTTCCGTCAGGGGGTCCTGACGGAACATAACGACAGTGAAGTGAAGCGCCATGTCGGATTCAAGCGGCGAAGAGACAACCGGGACTACAAACGTCAATACGAAACCACGGCATAACAAGATGGCAGACGCTGGAACTACGTCATTACCACCGCCCATACAGATACGTATCCCACCATTTTGGCCTGAAAAACCGGCGATTTGGTTTGCCCAGGTCGAAGGACAGTTCGCAATAATGCGTATTACCGACGATGCCACGAAATTCTACCACATATTGGCCACACTCGACAGACAATACGCTGCAGAGGTCGAAGACATTTTGACCGGCCCAGCTGACTACAAAAGGCTAAAATCGGAGCTCATCAAGCGATTATCGGTGTCACGAGAGAATAAAGTAAAACAAATCCTGATGCATGAACAACTCGGAAACCGTAAGCCGTCACAATTTCTACGGCATTTGCAACACCTTGCCGGTCCTGACATACCTACGGACTTCCTAAAAACGATATGGACGAGCCGTTTACCCACAGACCTGCAACCTATCGTAGCATCCCAGACAACTTTATCTCTCGATGCACTCGCAGAACTGGCTGACCGGGTCAATGACATCACGACTCCAACTCAGCATGTCGCGGCAACCTCGTCTTCACCTATCCACGAGTTAACACGCCAAGTGGCAGAGCTGACAAAGCAAGTGAGCGCCCTGTCAACCCAAGTCAACAACCGATCGCGCCCTAGAGATCGGCAACATCAGAAACAACGAGACCGCTCTCAATCGCACCGGTCGCAGTCCAACTACCGACGACACCCGATCTGCTGGTACCACTACAAACACGGCAGCAAAGCCATGAAGTGTATCAAGCCCTGTGACTTCAAGGCGACGGGAAACACCCCAGGCAGTCAGTAATGGCGACCAACGACTGCCACGCTTCTACTGGTCGCCTCTTCATCACGGACCGCACTACCAAAACGAAATTTCTAATAGACACTGGAAGTGACATTTGTGTATACCCTGTTTCCGCGCTTCGTGAGCGATTGAGTAAAACGACCTACCAACTTAGTGCTGCCAATGGTTCGGCTATCGATACTTACGGGTACGTACAATTAAATCTCAACTTAGGTTTACGTCGTAATTTCCCGTGGAGATTTATTATTGCTGACGTTACTAAAGCCATAATCGGTGTAGATTTTTTATCATTCTACCGTCTCATTGTTGACGTTAGTAAACAACAACTAATCGATAGCCTAACCAATGTCAGTATAGTAGCATCTATATTTAAGCCAGATTGTCTTATTTCAAGTGTGAAAATCTCGACTGGTGGTAATAGTAGATATCACAATATTTTATCCGAATATCCGGAAATAACACGCCCCGCTGGTACTCCGGGTATTGTTCGGCATAACACTACTCACCACATTCGCACAATTCCAGGTCCCCCTGTCTCGTGCTCACCACGACGTTTGGCCCCAGACAAACTCAAAATAGCCAAACAAGAGTTTGACGCCATGATCGCAAACGGGACAGCTCGTCCTTCCGATAGCCCATGGGCGTCGCCACTACACCTCGCATCCAAAAAGGACAATGGTTGGCGTCCATGTGGCGATTACAGACTCCTCAACGCACGGACCATACCTGACAAATACCCAATTCGTCACATCCACGATTTTTCCCACAGCTTATCTGGTTGCACTATCTTTTCAGTAATTGACTTAGTCAAAGCGTACAACCAGATCCCAGTCTTCAAGGACGATATCCCGAAGACCGCGATCACCACGCCATTCGGTTTGTACGAGTTTCCTTTTATGACGTTTGGTCTTCGCAACGCAGGCCAAACTTTTCAGAGATTCGTCGACGAGATGACTCGTGGACTCGATTTTTGCTACCCATATTTAGATGATTTCCTCGTCTTCAGCAAATCAGCCAGCCAGCACGAAGACCACTTGCGCCAGCTCTTCACACGCATGAAAAACTACGGCGTACTGGTCAACACTGCCAAGTGTGTCTTCGGCGCTTCTGAAGTCACGTTTCTGGGTTATCGAATCTCTGAAAAGGGCACCAAACCACTGGACAGCAGAGTGCAAGCCATCGCCGATTTTCCAGTCCCAAAAACCGTCAGAGAACTCCGACGATTTTTGGGAATGATAAATTTTTACAGGCGTTTCTTGCAGAATGCAGCACAGACTCAGGCCCCCCTGAACGCCCTACTAACAGGATCGGTCAAAGGTTCGCATCCAGTCGTCATAGAAGGAGATTCACTCCGGTCGTTCGAAGAATGTAAAAAGCTTCTCTGCAATGCAGCTTTACTAGCTCATCCCGACACGCAAGCTAAATTAGGACTCGTCACGGACGCCTCTGACACGGCGATAGGTGGGGTCCTCCAGCAGCGCAAGGATGGAGTTTGGCAACCTCTAGCATTCTTCTCGCGTAAGTTGAGCCCATCTCAAACGAAATATTCTCCATACGATCGCGAGCTCCTTGCGATCTACGAGAGTATTAAATACTTCCGCCACATGCTAGAAGCAACCCATTTCACGATCTATACTGACCACAAGCCATTATGCTATGCATTCCACGAGCGAAAAAGTAACTGCTCACCACGTCAGTATAGACATCTCGACTTCATATCGCAGTTCACAACCGACGTGCAGCACATCTCAGGCGCAAATAACGTCGTCGCCGATACACTCTCACGTATCGATGAGCTGCAGATGCCCGTCGATCTGGAAATGATGGCCAAACTCCAAGCCACAGACACTGAACTCGCAGAGCACCTAAAAAGCGAATCTTCCCTTCGCCTGATTAAAACGAACTTACCTGGTAGTCGTGCTGAGTTGTACTGCGACGTAAGTACACCGACTCCCAGGCCCTTCGTACCGATTCAGTTGCGTCAACAAGTGTTCAGCTCGCTTCACTCACTCAGCCATCCAGGCGCAAACGCTACAGCCAAGCTCGTTGCACAGCGCTTCGTATGGCCACTGATGCGTAAAAATTGCCGTGAGTGGTCTAAGGCATGTTTGACCTGCCAGCGCTCGAAGGTGAACCGACACGTCGCGTCACCACTCGGTACGCTCGCCACACCTTCAGCGCGATTCAAACATGTCCATATAGACCTGATCGGCCCATTACCGCCAGCTGGTGATTATCGGTATTGCCTTACAGCCGTCGATCGCTTCACGCGATGGCCGGAAGCTGTACCCCTTACCGACATCACCGCCGAAACAGTGGCCAAAGCATTTGTCTCCTGTTGGGTTTCCCGATACGGTTGTCCAACTGACGTCGTAACCGACCGAGGTGTACAATTTCAGTCGGCACTCTTCCAACAGTTATCGAAGTCTATCGGCTTCGACCACCGCAGGACGACAGCATACCACCCGCAGTGCAACGGCTTGGTTGAACGCTTTCATAGACAGCTGAAAGCAGCTATCACTTGCCACGCCGACGCTAACTGGATCGAGTCACTACCACTAGTGCTTCTCGGCATAAGGAGCTCATTTAAAGAGGACCTACAATCTTCATCAGCTGAATTGGTGTTTGGTGAACCGCTTCGTCTACCTGGCGAATTCTTTGGCCACGAAGTTACAGCCTATACCACCGACATCACCGATTTTTCAGCTCGAATGAAAACATTCGCCGAGAACTTACGTCCGGTTCCAGCTCAGCACCACTCCAGGAACAAGATCTTCGTGTACAAAGATCTGGCCTCCTGTAGCCACGTATTCCTGAGGGAAGACGCGTTACGAGGCTCACTCCAGCCCGCCTACACGGGACCACACGCAGTGCTGAAAAGAGGTGCTAAATACTTCCGGATAAGCGTGAAAAATAAAGATGTGACAGTAAGCATAGACCGTCTGAAACCAGCCTACTTACTAGCCACTGAACTAACTCCGCAACTCCGCGAAACTAGACCACCAGACTCTCATCCATCGGACTCTCATCCATCTGATCCACTCATTCATCAGGGTCCTCAGCCATACACAACTCGCTCAGGGAGGAAAGTTCGCTTTCCTGATTATTTTCGCCCTTAACCCGGTCTCTGGAGGGGAGTGATGTAGGGAACCTACATTATTATTACACTTATTACTATTTATTACACAAAACAATCACACAAAAAATATTTCTACATCTTATAATTATATTATTAACACATTAAAATCATACACATTACATTCATACATCACGCTAACATACATACATTACGCAAATACAAAATATTTATCCGCACAAGCAAACCCGAATGATACCTCGAGTATGCGGCGGGCGATATACATCGATGCCCTATAGCTACGTATGCGCGTGGAATGTTCAGGACTGGGCCGCCGCTCGGCTGCGCCCGCGGCGATATATCGCCAGTCGAGAAAACACCGTCCTACGCATGACCCGTGCCGCTCGACGCGCCCGGCTAGCCTTCCGCGCGTTATCGTATTTGTTTTCGCGTGATAACGAACAACTTTCTGTATCTTTCTTCTTCCTGACTTTCTACTTCACGTGCTGTGTTACTCCTTCTATTCTGTGTCGTCAAATAAACTCTAATAACTGTGATTTGGAACTTTATTTATCGCAGTAGTTTACCTACTATAGACACAATATTTAATAGCGATACTCAAACGCTATACTAGTAAGAAAATATACCTTTAGCTGTATCTACCAAAAACCCAGTTTAAAATTGTACCAAACAGCAGTAATTCGATTTCACAGGGATATTTGAATTACAAAAGGAAAAGTTCGCTTTTCCACAACAAAGGCTTTGAGATAAGGCAGTTAAGAAAAAAGAGGACACAAGATAATTGCAAGTATTCGTTAAAAGCAAGTGGATAGAACTAATTCGTTATCATTAGCTTTGATAGTGATGCTGGATGATCGATATATCGATAGTTAATGTCCTGTTGTCGGTTTCCAGTGGGACACAAATTACTGCTCGGTTTAGTTCGTGGTGATTTTCCTCAATATAGATCGTTTCATTCACGAAGACGCGCCCCACCATTCTTCCGCTAATGTTTGAGGGTTATGGGTACACGCTGAATTGTCCATGTGCACACGCACACTACAATAATGACGGGCTCGGATCAAACTCCCCGCACCCCGCGCTTCCCTCATCCAAAAATTGGTGGGGCGCGTCTTCGTGGATGAAAGGATCTATAGCTACTTACCGAAGTCTATCACCTTAACAACAATGTTAACAGTATTTTTGTTATTTTGTCAGTTTCTCTATGATATTGAGAATACCAAGTGAAGCTAGCTTTCAACTGAGGACTGATCATCACTTTCCATCAAGAGATGCAGGCCAAGAGCTTTCCCGTTATAGAAAAAAAGTTCGTTCGTTCGTTCGTTTCAGCCGAAAGACGTCCGCTGCTGGACAAAGGCCTCCCCCAAGGATTTCCACAAAGACCGGTCCTTCCTGCGCCGCTCGCATCCAGGCGCCTCCCGCGACCAGATCGTCGGTCCACCGGCTACGTCTTCCGGCTCGTGGTCGCCACGTTCTGCGGGCTATGTCAGTCACTCTGGTTCTCCTACGGATCTCCTCATTTCTGATTCGATCACGCAGGGTATCACGCAGGCAGAAAAAAAGTATCATGAAATAACACTGTAACCCTTAATTTAAATGTCACCTTTAAACTGAGTTAGTATTTATTATTGGAAATCATAACAGCTGTATATTTTTTCTGTTATAAATATAAATGCAGTCATCTGAGAAATTGATAAGTGTATTAAGCTGAAAAATTAGATATTAAGCTCGCCTTTTGTGCCTTATTTTTTCTGCAGTAAAGTTTAGAATAAATATAAAGTGGATTCCCATTTTTCTGAGTTATCTCAGAGAATCTATTTCGTGATCTAAATTAACTTCATAATTTCTGTGAAGTAAATTGATTATTACTTTTAGGTATTGTCAGTTATATCTTATAGCTAAA